CGCGAGAGGTGGGGAGGCCCAAACCAGATATTTAGCACCTCCTGGGCGCGTGGTCTGAATTGCTGGGGGGGCTCGAAATCAACACCCCTCACACAGATCGGCGGGGTCAGGGTCCAAAAGCACAAAGGATTTGCCAAATTTCTGAAATTCGGTGCCACCCCTCACGCAGATCCGCGGGGTCAGGGTCCAAAAACACAAGGGATTTGCCACATTTCTGAAATCCGGTGCCACCCCTCACGCAGATCCGCGGGGTCAGGGTCCAAAAACACAAGGGATTTGCCACATTTCTGAAATTCGGTGCCACCTCTCACGCAGATCCGCGGGGTCAGGGTCCAAAAACACAAGGGATTTGCCACATTTCTGAAATTCGGTGCCACCCCTCACGCAGATCCGCGGGGTCAGTGTCCAAAAACACATGGGATTTGCCACATTTCTGAAATTCGGTGCCACCCCTCACGCAGATCCGCGGGGTCAGGGTCCAAAAACACAGGGGATTTGCCACATTTCTGAAATTCGGTGCCACCCCTCACGCAGATCCGCGGGGTCAGGGTCCAAAAACATAGGGGATTTGCTACATTTCTGAAATTCGGTGCCACCCCTCACGCAGATCCGCGGGGTCAGGGTCCAAAAACACAGGGGATTTGCCACATTTCTGAAATTCGGTGCCACCCCTCACGCAGATCTGCGGGGTCAGGGTCCAAAAACACATGGGATTTGCCACATTTCTGAAATTCCGCGCCACCCCTTACGCAGATCCGCGGGGTCAGGGTCCAAAAACACAGGGGATTTGCCACATTTCTGAAATTCGAACCCATCACGCACATCCATCGCAAGGCGTGGTAACCCAAACTGCGAGAACTCCCTCGGCCCTTTCATCGCAAGGTGTGGTAACCAAGCCCTTAAACCATACACGTCTTACCAATCGCCAGGTGTGGTAACCCCGCTTGTGATCAGTTGGTTTTGCTGATTGCGACTCGGCTTCGCATGAAGTTTCGATACTGCTTCACGACAGCGCCAAGGCCTCATGACTTAGCTCTTCCATGGCCCTTTCTCCGAGAGAGGGGGCCGGCGGCAGGGGGCGAAGCCCTTACGGATAACTCCTCCCTGTCGCACTCCGAGGCCGGTCGAGAGGGCGGGCCGGGCGTTTCGCCTGAGACCCCCTCACCATTTGTGATCCTGAAGCCTGGAATATGCGATAGTTTCACGGATGGAGGGTGGGTGGTTTTCAACATGCGGCTCTCGCCTGGGCACCGCGCACATTCGTGTTTGAAAATTCTAAGAGCTTCACGGATTGAGGGTGGCCAACTTTCAAAAAGTAGCTCTCGCCTCAGCGCCGCGCACGTTCGTGTTAAAAATGCAAGTTTTGGCACGATCTCTGACTGTCAGGGCGCAACAGTAACATTGATTTGCGGTGTTGAGGTCCCAGGAAGGGTGTTCTGGCACGGTTCAGGGTCGTCAAGACGCGACAATGACGGTGATTCGCTGTGCTGAAGTCCCAGTGATGGCGCGCTGGAACAATTCAAGATGTTCACACGGCTCCTTCCAACGGGGTAATTCCCTCAGTGAAATGAATGCTTGTAGGGGCCTATCGGAAGGAACTTGAAGGGAGGTTTGATTGCAATATCGTTGACGGGTCTCGGAGTTTCACTGGGCAGCATCCTCATCCTCATCCTCATTATCAGCATAGTCATATTAAACCTTCTCGTGACCGTCATCAGCATCATCATCACCATCATCACCTTCATCATCATCGTCGGCATCATTAAGATCATCATCGTCATCATCACCATCAGCATTATCATCTTATCACCATTATCATCAGAGTCCTCATCATCATCGTCATCATTATAAGCGTCGTCATCATCAGCAGCAGCAAAAGCAACATCAGCAGCACCAGCATCAACATCCTCGTCATCATCACCATTCACAACACGACAACCATCCGTATCATCATCAACCTAATCACCACCACCAATATTATCATCATCAGCATCATCAGCAGCATCATCAGGATCAACGTCAATACCGGCATCATCATCATCCTCACCATCATCAGCATCAGCATCAGCATCATCAGCAGCATAAACATCATCGTCGTCGTTTTCGTTATCATCATCGTCATCATCCTCATCATCAGAATCAGCATCATGATCATCACCAGCATCATCATCATTATCACCATCATCATCATCATCATCATCATCATCATCATAATCATCATCATCATCATCATCATCATCATCATCATCGCGCCAGTGGGCTAGTCATTCCATGTCAGCCTGCGGGCCGAGAAGGCCCCCGCTGCCGTTGCGGTGCGAATCAGCGAGCCCGTGCCGCGCACCCTTGCGTCCAACCGTTCAGCTGCGACGGTGGACAACGTGGCGGGCCGCCACGACCGTTCCAGCTGCGCCAGACGCAGTCTTGGGCTTCAGAAGCGTTTGCGCAAGGCGCTTGGGGAGACTGCCCCGCGCCGGCGAGAACCAGCGCCAGTATTCCTCCA